TTTTTGAGTGCTTGCTTGAAAATTATCTGAAAACTTAATGAATAGACGTGGAAAGTTTTTTAAGAGCAGTGTAACGAATTTAAGTCACACTATTTTTGAAGAGTTAACATTATTTTTGACAAAATAATATTACCAAAAATCGCAAATTATCAGAATAAATATTTCATATTTTTAATACATATACTTATAGTATTTTTAAGTAATAATCAAAATTTGGTTGAATTACATAATAAATCAGTTAAATAAAAAATAAGCCATCAGATTAAAGGACTTATTTTTATGTAAATCGAGAAATTATACAAAATGTTGAATGTTTTAAGTACAAAGATTAACTTACTCAAAAACCAAAAGAATGGTATTATTATGCGAATTGTATTGTAGCCTGTAGGGTACTTGATTTACAAAACACGAAATAATCTTCAATTTTAATAAAATGTACATAATATAATCTTACCATTTATAAACAAGGTTTAATTGATTTCAAAAATTTGTTTTATACCGAAATAATTATCTTATTAAAAAAATAACAATAATACTCTTCTTTAAAATTTTTATAATGGGTTTAATATTGATCTCATTGAGGTAATTACAATGAGAATATGAGCGTCATATCTTCCTCCCAAAGAAAATATATTTACATAGTGAAAAAACATTTTTTTCTCTTTTATAGGGGTAGTGAAATGTTTTTTTTTTAATGTAAAGTAACACTGGCCAACAAACTATAGCGTGTTATACTATATCTCTATAAAGCGTATAAAACAGATTTGAGTCCAGATTCGAAATCAGTGTTGAAATGCTGATGAACTGAAGGATTTTTTATCAGAAATGTATGAAATTTTTTAAACTAAAACGATGAAAGAGTTTATAAAATATCTTTCTTTTTTCAATCATAAATATGTATTATTTCACAATTAAATAAACTTAGTACCTTAATTGTTTTTAATTCATAGAACTGATTACAAAAATTCCAATTTTTCCAGATCATTTGAGATAATTTCAAATCCCAAAGATATTAGTAGTTAAATTAGATGAATTTATTGATGTGAATTTATATGAATTATTTGTAAATAGTAAACGATACAAACATTAAATGTATGTATCATATGAAATTAAAATTTTGTAATTTAATTAATTTTGTTTTTTCTTACAACAGTGTTCGATATTTAGTTTTGCTTGCCTGGGAAAATATAAATTCGATTTTTCATTAAATTCCTTTGGACGAAAAGGTCTATATATTCGCATGTGAATATTTATTTTATGTTTAAAAAAAATTAATATACTCATGTCAATCGTTTTTGGATGTAAAATTAACATATTGTTGAAACATTTCACATAGAAATGAATTTAAAAGCAAAGAATTACTTAAAAAAGCATTCCATTGAATCAATTTATTCCGTTTGAAATATTTTGTTGCACGTTCTTTAGAAAAATGTTCAATTGTGTAGCTTACTAAAATATTAATTTTTAAATTATAAACGTTAGACAAGAAATAATTATGATTTAAATATTATGATTTTTTCAATTATTTATTTTTGCTCAAATTTGTGTAACGTGATCAATTACACTCCTATTTTGTAGTTTTTATGTGGTATGTTCAATTAAAAAAAGGATTATGTCAATTAATTATTTCAATTGATTAAATATTTTTTTAAATAATTTTTATAAAAGTAATAAAATTGTAATTATAAAAATTAAACAAATCACTAGGTGTGTTGAATGTTTACTACGTGTGTTGGTATTACCTACAGATGTAGTAAAAAATAATAATATGAAACGATACAAACTATTTTTGGTTTTTGAGTAGTTGAATTTTCTATCATCAGAATAATATCTAATATGTGTTTATTAATTATATTTTTTACACGAAATGTTTTAATTTAAAAAAAATGGAAAAGAGAGAAAAATTATAATATTAAGGATTGGTCTTAGTATTATTTGTACGTTTAGAGCATCATATTATTTTTTATTTTTTAAGATTATTTAACATATATTACATATTTTTGCAGTTGTTTGATCATACATAAACAATACATTGATAAATAACAAAAAGTTAAACATTTACTCATTTTTCTGTCTTATTAAGTAATTCTATAATAATATATTGTTTTGAGCGAGGCGCTCTTTTCATCATCTATTTTTCGTTACTTCTCCTAATCTACACATATTAACCAATAAAAATGTTTTGTTGATATTTGATTCAATGATTAAACACATCATTCTACAACAATATTACTGTCACATATTGATGACTGGAAAAATAATTCTGGATACCCGTCAAGAATTCTCAATGAGTTTAAGGTAAAGGTCATCTATTCAATAGATATACAAATTCTTCGAATAAAAACAAACAAATCATTGTCCTTCGTCTTTCCACTTATTTTTCTAGAAATATTTCCTGTGGATGCCCTTGAATGATATCGTACACATCGAGACACGTAAAACTAGGCCAACAATCTCAAACCATTGAAATCTCCAAATACAACGTTAACACGCGGCCACAGTAGACGGTAAATATCTATAAAGCAATAAGTAGGAGGCCAACTTAGCTCAGTCGCAAACGCCTCGGTGCAATGGTATCAGGGTTCGATTCCGTTACACTGGGCCAAGTAGGTTTACCCGTCTAGCACAAGCGATAGCATTCGGGAAGACGATACACATAGATAACTAAATCTTGTCGTGATGAGAGCACTATGGACGTTGTCCATGTACAGAGTTAGCTAGTTGAATTTTCGCTGTGTACGTTAATATTACAGTAAATTGCGTATAATGGCCGTAAATATCCGAAAATGTGTACTACGAGGAACGACATGCAGTGACGCGACGTAACGGTGAAAGCCAATGACGTATCGCCAATCGAATTTCGCACTCTGCACACGCATAAAAAATAAGGTCGTCAAATCATAACTACTAACTGGGAAATTTTCCCAAATGACATTGGGGGCTTCTAAGAGCTGAGGATATGAAAAAAGTTTTGACCTATAAAATCACGTTTGATTTCGATTTTCGTTAGGTTATTGAGATTCGCAAACAAAAATTCCCAGTACTTAGTGATAATTTTTAATTGAAATCAAATCTAAAAAGTAGAAATAAAAGTCGAGTCCATATTTACTAGCTATCCGACCACCTGGTCTACGCCGTATGCGGGTTTTGTTATATTCGAATTTGCGATCATTTTAGTATACTACCGACCTATATATGTTTTATCATATGAATGTAATTAACGAAAAATGTTTATAGCTTTAAAAATATAATTTGACGTTATATTTTTTAAGTGCTTTTACTAGTGTGTTTTTTCCTCACGTTATAGACAAAGTGATTCCCCGGTGTAATAATTTCGTATAAAAGCTGTTTATTTCGCTGATGCAAGTTATTGACGTTTAACTATAACACATGAAAGAATTTGAAAAATATTCAAAAGAAAAATTCATATTGTTCTATTTACATTATAGGCTATAATACAAACAAAAATTTATATTATGAATTAATTTAAACTTTAGTCACATATCGATATGAAGTTGAAGTAGTAGTTTAAAAAAACACTATAGCTAATATTTATTACATTTTATTTCCAAGTAAAAATAAACTAACTAATGAAAAAAGTTCAAAAGAAAATAATGTTAAGGTTCAAATACGATCCTAAATTTTTCATACGAATAACAATAAATGATTGTAATATATAAAGTAAAAAAACCTATTAAGATATTAATAGTAAAAATATAAATTAAATATGTACTTAAAAAATTACGCATTTATTATTAAATTCTTGTGTAATATGTATTTAATTCACGTTTCTAAATTTATTAATTAATCATTATAATATTTAATTATCAATTACAATACGAAATATAAGTTAAAACTGAAACAGTAAAAAAAAACTGTAACTGAATTGTAGTAATATAATGATATAATTTTACGCGAGTTTTATTTAATTGCTTAGAAATACAATTACACACGTTTATTTAAATTAAAAACTTTCTTACAATTAAAATTATTTACCAAATGCGTTTAACGTGAGATGTACTTTCAGAATTTAAAGATTACTTTTCTAGTGAATACTCATTATAAAACGTTAATATTTAACGTAAAAAACGATATCGTTAAAAAAAAAGTGGTTATTTTAATATTAACTGAATACGTACAAAAATATCATAAATACAGATTTTTTGTGACGATAGATTAATTTTATTTAATTAGTAATTTTTGGTTCTTAAATTAGACATTATTATTATTACTACTGATTTGATACGCAGTTTTTAACTTGGACCACAAATAGTTTTATCTTTTCGTAAAAAAAATGTATTAAAACTGAATAGTTCAACTCTCATGACGTATATTTTGAAAAAATCGAGTAAATGTAATTATTTTTCTATAAAATCATATTTCCGAGTACTTGACAAACTGCTGCTTATTGTTGTCTTAATGATATTCTTTTCATAGAAAAAATTACATTTAATTTCATATCATTATAGAAATAAATAATTGTTATTATTTTCATGGTAATTTTAATTTAAAAATAACGATACTTAATATAATAAAAACAAACAGTTTGGGATTGGCGGGCTGAAGGAAACCTGGAAAATTACTGCGCGGAAGGACCAAATTCTTTTTCAATTAAGAGATAATAAACGGTTATCATAACCAAAATTACGAAAATTTTAAAAATAACTAAAAAACCTATCGTCTTTGTTTGGGTATAACATAGAATAAATTATTTTTTACAAGTCTTTCAGATAATTAAATGATAAATTAAACACTTTAACAGCTATAAAGACGAATCAAAATTTGGTTGACCCGTAGACTAAAATATTTATCCATTTTCGTATTGAATTCGAGTTATATTACTGTTATAAATATAATGTATTATGTTGAACATTATGTCATTGTTTAAAAGTGGAGAAAATTGCTACTAGATGCTTACTTTGAAATACTTAATTATGTATCATATAGTATTTGTTGTAAATGATATATAAAGCTACTAACAATATAATGTTCGCACGTACCTGTATATTTTAGTGGCAATCGGTGAAAACTGGTGTCAAACGGTTATCCGTCGAAGAGTGAGGTAATAAAATACGACCAGATATCCGAACGCAGTCTCTTATAAGTCCGGAACTAACACCTACTCACGCACACTCTGCGACACTTGTTGCGCGCTTGTTGGGTTGTTTCATTCAGGATGCGCATATTTCCTATCGCTTAAATAGGTGTTTCGAAATCAAATAACGTCAACTCATATTGGTTTATTACTTTTTCAAACATTTTATTTAATATCGTTTTGTCGGGGTATGTCCACAACTGTCACAATCATTTCGATTTTGGTTGCAGAATCTTGCATAATATTGAGAAACTAAATTATATTAAAAGTTATGATAATTACCGAGATCGTCAATTTTGAGGTCGAGGACGATGTTGTATTACACACGTTACACATACAAATAAACAAAAATTGTGTTGTAGAGAGAGTGAACAGATTATTTGCTTTAAGTGTTAACTTTCATTAGAAATAATAAATATCCAAGGATAATGGGATGTTAGTTAAACTATGCAAAAAGATTATTGCTTATAAGTGTCAAATAATAAAAGTAACATGTTATAATCGATGTATATATATAATTATATAAGTATCATGTTGGGATTTTACTTAACAACTTAAAATATTAACAATCAATAGGAATTTTTGCTCTCCGATAATTCATTTAAGTATATCGATATTCAATTAGTAGTTAATTTTTATAATATTACAAAAAATATGATAATTCTATGGTTCTAACGTAGAAATTTTAGTTTCAAAAATTGAATTGAGATTTACAAAAGCTGCAAGCTCTTTGGTTGTCTCTATAGAATTGTCTACAATAACATTGCAATCGTCTTAAAATTATATTAAAAATTACAACTATTATAGATTTTTTTGATTTGAGACGTGCATATATATATATATATATATATAAGGACATAACATTTATTTATAAGGATTATATATACTTCTATAAATCGTTTTTCCAATAATTTATTAAATTGTTTTTTATTTTTCTAATTAAACTATTTCAGCGATTTGAATGACGTCACGATGTTCTAAAGTTCGTAAAAATTATTAATTAGAAAAATAGATTCTATTCACAACAAACTTCAATTTAAAAAAATAAAGTTTCGTTAGTGCCTACATTAAATTGTAACATTATAATTACTTATTTGTACATTATGATTATCAACGAAAAGTTATAAAAAAAAAAAAATATTGTATACTTTTCAATAATGGTTGCAAAAAATTGTATAATAAATTTAATAAATTTGGTTATAGGATTATTTAATATTATATTTGTATGCTTGCAATTTTAATAGTTTTGATTGTGTGTTTATTATATTTGTATTTTTAAAAATGACATTTTACAGAATTCGTAGATTTAGTAAATGCATTATTCTTTATATTGATGTTTCTATTTTTTGAGCTCATTTTATAAACTTATAAAAAAATAAAAGTTTCTCAATAACTTTTGATTAGTTGTATTTCTTAAGATTTTCGACAAATTTTTAACACAAAATCTTTTTATAACCTATTCACGTTTAAGTGTGTTATTGTTGTGTATATGTGCTTTACAAATTGGTACTTGTACATAAACGTTTTGTAAATGAATCTTATACATTGTGATTTAGTAAATGCAATGTAGTAATTATTTCATAAGCTTACATTTTAATCAAAAACATATTGGCTTATCATATTAATTTTGATTAATTTGATGTGCTATTATAAAATTATTGACCATAGAATCCTTAAGATGTATAATTAAAACCAACTGCTACAGTGGTAAATAATGACAACAATGTAAGTCATTACTCGATCCTTTAATCATCTGCCCTCACTGTCACGTAGGCCCCAAATTAATTATCATCGTACATGGTTACACCTTGGCCATAAATTAAAATCACCGTGATATTGTACTAGAAATTCCATGCAAACGTCGTCTAAAAGATAATTTTCATTGGTTGTTGCCTTCTTCCGTCACAAGGATAACGTACTTTTTTTTCTCCTAAAATTATGATTGCAGCTAATTCCACAACGATCAGTGCAATATTATGCAATACAGCCAGCTGTTTATGTGAGAATAACTACTATATGTATACAGATTAAATATCAATGAAGATATTATATACTTACAAGGTAATGTCATTGAACGAGAAAGTAGACACTTACGATAATTAACCATTGACTATTTTCAAATTCTTAAAAAAAAAATGTAAAATATCAATTTTCATTAATTGTACGTTTTTTTAACATTTAAAATAAGATTAGAAATAGACATTTTGTAAAGCTTAAAATTGTTTAAAATAATATTAAGAAAATGTTTTTTGATTTAAAGAAAACTTCGTTCGTGCTCGGATTACTTATTCTACATATAGTTTATTATATCAATAAGTTATTTTATGATTTATGACATTTCGTTAACTAAAGAATATTTGATTTCTAAAATAGAGCCAATAAAATGTGTTATTTTATTATTGAAATAACAAAAAAAAAAAAAAATGTTACTACTAAGAATAATGAGTGCGTAATCCAAAATTTACTGGTCTATGGTTAAAGTCATTAGTTAGGTTCACGGACGTGAATAGTAATACAGTCAAACACCTATGATGAAGTCAGGGTTGAGACTGTACTCTTTAACCTTCAAGATTCCATACGTTTATTCTAAGAATATTATCCGTTATTTTTTACTTTTAATGTTACGTGTAAAACACGAAATCGTAAAACTAGCAGTAATAAAATATTGTGAATTTTTCATCGTATCTGTATTAGCTGAATGTATTCCAAACAAAAATTATTTATTATAACGTATTAGTGCAAAACGAAAATCGAATATTTTTTGCGAGGTTACATTCTTTTAATGAAAAAATATTTATCTAACTAAAATTAATGATGTTGAATTAACATTGCTTTAAAATTCAGCAGACACATTACTTTAATATACATAAAATATTTTATGGGATTAAAAATCACCTTATTCAACTTCAACAGTGTTGTAATTAAGATTTTGTCCTGGGAAGAGATATACATAAGAAAATTTTCAGAATACCATGAAAACGAAAAAAATTGCATATCTACTTTGTAAATAATTTTGTTCAGGATTATATATCTTTGTCGCCTTCCTTTAATTACGCCCCTGAATTTTTATTTTAATATAAATTTAATAACACTAATTGTAGCTAAATCAGCTATAATATATTTTTGTGTGAAAGTTACTCAAATGTTAAAACCATTATTAAAGTGCAGTAAACCAAAACAAATCCTATTTTATAAAAAAACTCAATAGTTTAAAGTTGATATATCAATATCTAATTTTCATTGAATTCTTTGATGAAATCAAAAAAATATTGAGTAATTAATTAAAATATTATTTTAACTACTCTATAAAGTACAAACAAAAGTATGAGTTCCTGTGATTAAAAAAAAAACTCATACATGGCTTATTGGTTAATGCTTGCTAGACGTACTTTTGTAGGATAATCACAAAATAAATGAAGTTCATTTTTGTACGGAGAATAACATTAGGAAAGGCAAGAAACAAAATTAAGTTGATAATAACAACATAAGAATTATGTTGAAAAAGTTTTTACAGCTATTTGTAATACAATTTGTCTTTCTCTTATGTTACATGAACAGCATGATTTAATTATATTTTTTTGATGGCCAAAATCTAAGTTATTTTCTTGTACCAGGAATCAAAACATAAACATTTTTTGTTTTAAGGTTACATATTTTAGTGTATGTATGGATTTAAAAAGAAACACATAATCATTATAACATAAAGATATGTTAAAATTTTGCTTGCTTTTAAAAATATTTTTTAAAAGAGATATTTTTCATATTTTACGTTTAGATTTTATAAAGTAGTTAGAACTTTAAAAGAATTATATATTTTTAAAGTATCATTATCATCTCATTATTTTGAATTAGTATATAAATACAGCTGAGAAAAAAAGTAATAGTATATTTTTCATTCACTCTAAATGTAAATCATTTTATTTGTCTTAAAAAGTAAATCCTTTTAACTTATTATTATTATTTTATTTTAATTTTCTGAAGTTATTTATGTTGAATAAAAAACCGTTTCTACATATCTTCCATATCTGATCGCTAATATTAAACATATTTTACTTTTTGATAGATACAAAACATTCAAAATTTTATTGCTTATAAAGTTTTATTTTTTTATCAGTGTTCATTTTTTACTTTATGTTGTTGAAAGTAGATTGCATATTATGTGAGGAAATTACATTTTATATCGTTTATAAAAACAAAAATGTCTATAAAGTATAGTTATTTCCATAAACAAGTCATCCACTGACTAAACAGTAAGTTTTGTTCATCCTTAATGTATTGCTTAATATTGCTATTTAAAATTACTAAGGATTTTTTGTCGCATTTTTATTTTAGAGCAAACGAATTCTTACTCAATTTAATAATTCATTTTAACTTGTTACTCGTAGTTTATGTCTATATACCGAATGATTGATTACGAATTGGTAAGAACTAAGTTTAATTTCAATATGTTTCTGAAAGTTTTTCCACAAACACGAGTACTTTTAATTATAGAAATAGTTATATAATTTTAACTTACTCGTATATAAATTTTACACAGTAGGTTAAGTATAAAAAGATTTTTAATACATTTTATAGAAAACCCACTCATTCCAATGGATATAATTAAGTTTATTCTTATTTGGTTTTTTTTAGGTTAAACAATGCAATTTTGTTGTTCAATTCGTATAGAATTAAAAATTCCGAGAGACCAATTACATTATAATATAAACCTTATAAACTTAAAATCGATAGCTCAATAGATTTATTTATTTTTCTAAAAATAGAATTTTATTTTACAAGTTTTTATAAAATAATACCTTTCTTATTAAAATAATAATATATATTTTTTTAATGTAAGCTATTAATTGACAAAATATGTAATATCTTTTATTTTATATTAAAAATTCTTAAACTCATAATTGAAACTTAATTGTAAACTTCAAACTACGTGTAAGATTAAAATAAAATTTATAACATTTATTTGAATTGGTTTGAGTATCTTTAATGTTTATTAAAAAATATGTATCTTGGATATTATACGTAAACAATAAAGAAAAACATA